GCAATGACAATTAAGATGCTACACATCAATTTCAGCCCGCAGGGACGAATTCGCTGACGGCACCACATCGGAATCTGAAAAGAGCCAGCCAACTACCAGGTAGGCTAATTCAAAATTCTCAAACAAGCATAGCACAAATGTTTGCTGTTACCGAAAGTAGAAGTCTTCACAGATCCACAGGGAAAAGGGTTAGACGACTTTGTTTTGAGGTTCCGAATAAGATATAGCGGTCTAGGGCTGCATGAAGACATGCTCCTCCACCTATTTCTCTTAACACATTCACGACAATACGACCCACCGGTGGGTCGTACGTGTCCTGCCATTTCGGACAATACGACCCACCGGTGGGTCGTATGCTTTCTGAAGTTTTTGATTTTGCTAGGTCACTGTGACACTTTTTTAGGCAGACCGAGTGAACTTCCTTATACATCACCTGAAGTGCTATCCAAAAGATTAACACTTCAAACCACAGGACCCAACAGTGACCTGAAAATATTACGTAAACTCATTTTTGCGAAATATGCTCTGGTCCGAAATGGTAGTATCGAAAAATCGGCCCTGTCGTGAATGTGTTAAAACTGGGAAGATATCCCAAGGCCGTAGCAGACGCACTGCCAAAACGACTAAAGGAGGGCACTTTGAAAAATTTCATAGAAGCACTGCGGGACGAATTCAAGGTGCATGACTCCTCCGATCAAACGAAGGCCTACATGCTGAAGACGCTGAAGACGTTGAGAATGGCAAATTTACCTCCTACTGCCTCGAGCTGGGGAGGCTGACGCGGAGAGCCTACCCGATGCGACAGATAGGGAACTCTCACGAACAAGAGCCGGAGAACTAGTCTCACAGCTAACGAAATGGCCGGAGTATTTGCAGTTTTTCAAGGCCATGGAGACTGCTCCTAAGGAGTGCGCATATGAGCTGGTCAAGGCCATGGCACAAAGGTGTGAGCGCTGTAGGGACGTTGCAAACCCGATTCTCACAACTTCACTGAACAAATGGATTTGCGGTACAGTGGGTACAACAGAAAACGTAAATGAGCTATTACCTAGACGATAGACCTAGTAGATGGTTACGAACGTCCATCGCTAGATCTATCGCAAAAAGCACTGATAGACACGGGCTCCCAAGTAAGCACCATATCGCTGCAGATGCTAGCGGCCAGCTGAGACAGCGGATTTGACTTGGATGCCAATGCTGAGGAGGTAGCGATAGACCACCTGGCTCCCGTATCCGATGCTTCGGGCAACAGAATGAGATTCAAGGGGGCAGTTGAGCTCATGATTGAGCTAGAGAGTGGTGTGAAGCAGAAAATATCACTGTTCGTGATGGCGAGAGCGGATGGCATAATTTTGCTTGGTACAAACGCGCTGTCAAAGCTCGGATTCTCCTTAGCCAACAAGAACAGCACTTCGAAAGATGGCGGCACTGAAGAGAAAGTACCCAAATCGGCGGGGAAGCCGAAAAGAAGAACAGGGAAACAGCAACAGTGCGTCATCAGTATGGAACGAGTGTACGTTGGACCAGGTGAGACGAAGGTGTTGCCTGTTACCCGAAAAGGCAGACCAAAGAAAGGGATTTTTTGGTCAAAATGTGGAATGGTTCTCGTTATAGTCTGGGACAAGGATAGTACTTTCTTAAACGTCCCGGTGACTAATGGCTTCAGGAGTCAACCTTTTCCAAGAGGGGGAAAAGATTGGAACGTTCGAACCCATAGGGGTAGTAGAACAGCAACCTTTCAGCTTTCAAGGCACTATGCTGGAGAGGACTGCTTCTGAAGCGCAAAATAGAGAAGAGCGCCTAATGAAGCTGCTGGAGAAGAGCAAGCTGAGCAGTAATTTCGAGGACGACATCCAAAGTCTGGTCAAACGCCATGCGGAAGGGTTTGCGGTCACCGACCACGAGCTCTCTCAGACGAATCTGGGAGCATGACATCAGGAGATGCGTCGCCCATAAGGTAGAAGCGGCGAGCAGTGCCTCTGGCGACTGTGTAGAACTGAGGGGTATTTTGAACCAATTGCAGACAAGAAAGGTAATCGAACAGAGCAGATCGAGCTGGACCTCACCCATCGTGTTGGTTCGAAAGAAAGATGGAACCCTAAGGTTTGTGTGTACTGTCGAAAGGTGAATAAAGTCATTATAGTAGATAGCTACCCACTACTTTCCATCACTCAATTCTGCAGAGCCTGAGAGTAAAGGCGTTTTTTTCAGCCCTTGATTTGGCTTTTGGATACTGGCAGATAAGCTTGTCAGAAGATGCGAAACAGAAGTCTGCCTTCGTTACTACCGAAGGCTTGTTTCAATTTCGAGTACTACTCTTTGGTCTCTCAGCTTCTCCCCCAGTATTCCAGCGATTGATGCACAACGTCCTAGGTGCCTTGCTAGAGGGCGAAGAGGTGTTTTGTTACTTAGACGACATTATCATAGCCACAGATTCTGCCCAGGGGCATGCACTTGCTTGAAGAATTCTTCCAGAAGTTGGAAACAGCCGGGCTAAAACTGAATCCGCGCAAGTGTGTCCATTTCGAAAAGAATGTGGGATTCCTAAGCCATATGATTAAACAAGACGGTCGGCATATGGATCCAGCTAAGATAGAAGCCATACTAGCGTACCCATTCCCAAAGTCGCGGTTAGATGGAACGTTCCTGGGGATGTGCTCCTATTACAGGAAGTTCGTTTTGCGCTTCGCGAGGGTAGCGAGCCCGCTACATGAGTTTCAGAAAAGAAGAAGTTCGAATGGACGAGTGAAAGGAAGGCAAGCTTTCAGCGGCTAAAGAGAGTGATCACCGAAACTCCGGTGCTCGCTCAACCCGATGTAGGGGCCGCGAGAAAGGAAACAAGGCCTTTCAAGGTTCACACCGATGCCAGCTTTCAAGGCTTAGGAGCGGTGCTCAGCCAAAAGGGAGAGGACTGCTGGCCGAATTTTCTTTGCGTCCAAGAGCCTGTCCATCTGCGAAAGGAGATACCATATAACCGACCTAGAGGCCTTGGCAGTGGTCTTCGCTTTAAGGAAGTTTTACATGTTTGTCTATGGATTGCCAGTAGAAGTATATACGGATCACCAGCCATTGACGGCAATCTTCAAACGTACAAATGTATCAGATCGAGTCCTTCGGTGGGCACTCGAACTGCAGAAGTACAACTTGAAGACTGTATACCTGAAAGGGGCCGCAAATAGAGTCGCGGATGCGCTAAGTCGGGAGGCAACAACTGAGGAAGACTTCTGCCCATGTAATGACTCTATGCAAAACGCGCTTATTGTGGCTTCGATGACTGAGGGAACGGAGTGAATGAAGGAACTTCGGGGGATACAACCTATCGGAAGATTATAGAAAGCCTGGAAAAAGGGCATATAAACCTTAAAGTGGAATTTCGGGATCATCGCTGAGGTACAAGGTAGCTGATTTTTCTTAAGTGGAGGTTACCTTATGCTGGTGTAAAGACCGCCTGCGTAAGGTGGTACCACCCTCTCAGAGAAAGAAACTCTTCGAAGGTGCACATCACGGAGCGTTAGGGACACTTGGGAGCCAAGACAATGTGGCGGGAGCTATCAGAGATTTTTCTGTGAATCTATGAGAAGGGACATCTGGTGCTAGGCAGAAGTGTGCCGAGAGTGCCTGTGTTACAACCCCCAGCAAGCAATGGTCTCACCACTACGTCTAATTGTCACCACTAGGACATTTGAGGTAAACGGTATAAGCATTTCGGAAATGGATATCACCACGGAAGGAAACCGCTACATTCTAATCGTAGTCGACCATTTCAAAGTTCGCCGGTGCCTATGCTGTCTCATCCAAAGCTGCACCAGTGGTAGCTCGAGTGTTTTTTGAACGTTGGGTGGCGGAGGGTGGACGCCAGCCCAAGTGTCTCCTCTTAGATCAGGGAGGGGAGTTTGAAACAAGCTAATGGAGGAGCTACAGAAGTTAATGGGATTTGAACAAAGTTTCACAAAAGGGTACAACCCTTGCGAAAATGGCCTCACTGAAAGGCTTAATCAGACCATCATCTTGATGTTGAGGAAGAAGGTTGCCGTCGCAGTGGAATGGGCTAAAATCTTGCTCGCCTGTGTGTTTGCGTACAATGCCACAGTGCATGAGTCCGGAGAGTCCACATTTTTCCTTTCACATAGTTTCGACGAGCATGCCTCGTAGGATCTGAAACCTGAAGCCTGCAGATACATTGTGGACATAGACAGCTATGTCCAAGAGGTGGAGGGACGCAAATTGCGCGTGAATACGCCGCAGAGTTAATGACAAGATAAGAGTGTATAAAAGCCTCATAAGACCGTGAAAAGGGAGTGGAGAGTTGCACTGCACCCCCAAGATAGACGACCGCGTCTACATGCGGATCCCCAGCGAGAAACAGTCCTCAAGCTATCCCAAACTAGCGAGTTCCTGGGAAGGACCCTACCGGGTTATAGAGGCCAGTGAAAACAGCGCCTTAGTTACACTGATCAACCAAGATAAGGAACCACTAAGAGTACCATTCGACTTACTTAGAAAGCTACCCCGCGGTACCTCCGACGAGAAATTGCTAACGAGAAAAAGCAGGAGGTAAAAGAGGGCGTCCTAAGAAAAATAAGATTCAAAAAGTTCGATGCAACAAAATCTCTCCTTTCAGGACTCTGCTAGCCTCCGACGATCGCCTGAATCTGAGATTTCGCTGCAGTTGTGGTCTATTTGGTCAGATGGCGCATGTAGCGGTACCTGGTTTAAAACACCAGCTAGCAAGGGCCAAGACAGTGAACGACATGTTTTAACTGACTAATATCGCGAGCATCTCTAAGCAAGAATGTTGGTCGGACGAAAGAAAAGAGCTAGAACTTAGAAGGAAACAATCGCAGTACCTCACGCCATACGGACTCGTTGTAGCATTGGACGCACATCGACGTCGATGTCCTATGTATGCCGAAAAAGTGGAGCAAAGAGATTGAAGTACGACCACCCCGCAATCTACCCATGGCCATGCGAATACCCCATCGGGGACATCCTAGCGCGTCATGATGCTGGATCAGATCGAGACGCCGCTGTTGAACCATCACGTGGATCGCCGTACGTTCATTGCACTCCCACCTTTGTTCGCAAGATTGGGTTCTGAAATGGCATACGAGGACAACGTCATCCTATATATTTATCGAGACTTCGGAACCCTTGCCAACAAGCTGTTAACCGCCCGCGAGATTATGAAAGCGGTAGTCATCGTATGGCCGGACAATTTGCCGGAAAGCAGGTAGATGAGACAGCTGTTAATCAGCATCGAGAGACACCTTTCAAGACGGAGGAACACTTGCGTTTCTCCTAAGCCCCTATGAGGATCGGAATGCCGAAGAATGGAGAAGAGTTTACGAAATGTGCCGTGAGTTTGTACGATTTTCAACGGTCCCATCACGCAACTTCATGGCTGTGATTCGCGATCATTACTCCGACGTCCTGGATCGTGCGCCGTATACACATCCAGCCTGTTGCCTAGGAGTCAACCCGAGACGCAATGGTGCGCCCTTTATTGGACCCCAAATAATGACGTTTTTCGAAAAAATCAGGATTGCAGTGAGTGATCTCATCAGGCTGCCGAAATTTGAGTCCGCAACACCAGAGCTACGCGAGCAACGAAAACGAGAGAAGATACTTAAGGTGCGGCGCCGCAAGGAGGAGTGTATGCCCAACTCCTAGAGGATTGCCGATCCGCAGAAAAAGGTCAACGTGCACCGACAACGTTTCAAGATCCATCCCAAGTCCGAATCGAAGGTCAAAGGCAGTATCCGGGCAAAAAGTCGATTCTGAGATTTTGTGCTTACCCAGGCCTATTCGCCATGCTGAATCCGAAAATCCACATTGGAAAGCGCCATACCTTCGATAGTCCAGAGACAGGGGCCAAAAGTGAATGTTGTTTGAACGTCTGACGTCATAAATAGTGAAGGTTGTTCAAAGAAGATCAGAGAAGAGAGAATGAAGTAAAACAGATAAAAAAGCAAAAGAAACTGCTAAAAACCGGATAAAAACGCTGCGATAAGGTTTAAAATCTTTCATTTGGCGGCTTCTCAGAGTGCAAGTTTTCGCTCCAGGACCAGCAATTGCGCAGCACGGGGTTTTGATTTTTGATGCGTCCTTTAAATTTTTACCCCCGCATTGACGTTCCTGTTTCCTGGGACGTTGTCTGGATTGTTGCGCTTATTATTCTGAGCAACAATCACCCAAGCTGGAAAAAAATCGATGCGAAGGCACTGAAACACAACAAGGTAAAGAAAAACGCAATTTTTACGATTTTTTGCAAAAAATTCCATCGTAATCGAAGAGGTAAGGGCTGGGTGGTTGTCTGCATTATGAACAGAAACAATATCTACAAAACGCTCGGAAACACCGCGTGAAAAGAGTTAAACTAGAAGGAAAACAAGACATTTTCGAAAACAAGGTTTTTGTCGGATTTCTCGATCAAATCAAAAAATGTGGCTCTGAGACGCTGCCATCGTGAAAATATAGGTCAAGAGCTTCAAAATGATATATAGCTTGCTAAAATTGGGTTCGAAACAGCGAAGAAAAGGGTACCAGAGCCAAATGCCCCGCGCCCCGCGTTTGGGGTAGCGAGGTAGCGCGCAGCGCGCGGAGACGCAGACGAGCAGCGGAGACAGACCAGAGCCGACGGGGCATTTGGCTCTGGTCGTATATCTCCGCGGGGTCTCAACGAAACCATGCAACATTATATATCATTCTGATCGCCATGTCACGACTAGGAGAATCGACAACGTCCCAAGCTTTGAAAATCCCTCATTGACGAGATAGACCAGCGTTTCCGTGCGCGACTCTCTGCGCAAGACTTAAGCACAGTTTCTCGTTTTTATCTAACCCCAATAGCTTTGCTAAACTTCCGAAACTCGATTTTATCCAAATGAGAGGTTAACTGAGGAATTTTTTCCTGAATTTTGGCGAAAATTCCACAGAAACCTTCTTTTTGACGTAAAAAAGGCTATAAAAACGCAAATTCTCGGTTTCGCTGAAATAAGCTAAAGATATTGTTCCCTATATTTACTTCATTAACATACGTTCCGATATAGTCAGGACAATAACATCCAGGGCGAAGCCCCGGATGACTTCTGTTTTTTTTTCAAGTGAAGGTTGCGTCCCCTCATAGCCCTCAAAGTGAAGGTTGCCAGAGTACGTGGCTCTATGTATCGAGGGTATGGAAAGCGCGAAAACGGCGAAAAAGGGCTCTAACACAGGAGGGAAATCCGCAGGTGGGCGGGGCTTTCCCCAGTGCGATTTCACGCTCCCAGCTCCCGGAGCGATTTTCTCGATTCCGCTAGCCGTCCTAACATCGCTACCGCCAAGTGCGAATGATTGACTTGAAACCGGAAGCGAGAAGGTCGCTCCGGAAGCCGGGAACGTGAATTCGCAGTGGGGAGGACCCCGCCCACCTGCTCACTTCCTTCTTGTGTTAGAGCCGTTTTTCGCCATTTTCGCGCTCTACAATGTGCATTTTCGGATTCAGCTTAGCGAATAGGCCCAGGTAAGCACAAAATCTCAAAATCGAGTTTTTGCCCGGACACTGCCTTCAAACTCTCCTAGTTGCCACCGTAGGTCGCACATGCGACATTCATCCGCACACTCGTGTCACACGCATGGGCATCGTCGGGACGACTCTACTCACCGGGAATGCATTTGAAGGAAATACACAATAGTTATGAGAAACTAACGATATTTGTAGAGTTGAGTAGGTTTGTGTCGTTGCAATTATTGTCTTATTGTAGATCATGATGTATTAGGCTGTAAACTAAGTTTTGCAACTGGTTCCATAACTTCACTCTCTTTGGAAATGGCGGATTCAAACTTTGGCATTATCTAGGGAGTAATGCGTGCTACAAGTGCAAGAAATTGTCTAAATTTTAAACACGAAGAAAAATTTCAGGCATTTTTCGAAAACTAGTGAAATTTGAGAATTTTTGGGGTTTCAAGCAGAAATGAAGCCTTTAGCAGCCTAGACCATTCGCAGTAATCCGGATTCGTCTATGATTATTGCTGGAGGTTGACTCCTTTGGCCTAGTAAGAAAGAAACAAAATTCAGGAGCATGTCGAGATTTGGCGTTCTCACAAAGTCGGACGAGTCGATGTACGCAAGAGCCGCGGAGACGAGTCAATGACTAAAGGGTCTGAAGCTCAAATTCCGCCGAGACTTTACATAGTAAGGTTATTTGACCTGCCGAATGCGCCGAGACTTTACATAGTAAGGTTATTTGACCTGCCGAATGCGAATATTGTATTTATTTGTTGAATCAACTCCTCTTTCCTTGTTTAGGATGAGACCCTGTATTGTAAACCTACAGTAACTTTACAAAAAAACTTCTATCACGCAATTTCTACTGTTTTCCTGATCAGCAAGTCGGATAACCCCTCTATGCCAAGTTTCAGCAGAATCTATCGAATTTTATAATTTTTCCCTTCATACCATGTACCTACCGTAACCCTCACTGCGACGTCAGAATTGGGTAGAACAGCAACTGCGTTTCTAGCTTACGAGATAACCAACACAGTGGCAAAATTTGAGTGCGCCATGTTGAGTGAGAGGGAAGTTATGAGACCAGTTGCAAAACTTAGTTTACAGCCTAATACTTTGTACCCGAGCGGCTATAAAAGGCCGCCGGCTAGTTTGTTATTGTTCTTATTGTTATTGTTCTGTTCCAGCCTTGTTTGGATGAAGCTTTTTTTTTCTTATATTCTTCTGCTACACGCCAGACGCCTCCGCATCGGCATCCCCAGCTGATGCGCAACAATATTTGGGCTAGCCACTTTCTGTATTTTCGCCTAAAAAGAATAGAGAGAGTAATAGAATTTGAACGAAATTCAGCATACATAATGCATAGGGTGGGGCGTGTGTTAATAAGCTATTTTGTTCGAAACACACACAGATTGCCTCTATCAAATTATTTTTTTGCAGTTTTTGCTTAGAAATTTTTTTTATGTTCGCCCGAAAAGGACAGAAGGAGTAATGGAATGTACGAATTGGCATACATAATGTGATAGGGAGAGGCGTGTGCTAATAAGCCATTTTGAGACACACGGATTGCCCCCATCGATCTCTTGATTTCTTGCAGTTTTACTTAGAAAATTTTCTATGTTCGCACATAAAAGATAGAAGAATTCATCGAAATTTAAGCCAAGTGACAGACATAGTGTATGGGGTGGGGCGTGCTTTAATAAGTCATTTTGTTTGGAACCTACCAAATGCCTTTGTCGATTCATTGATTTTTGCAGTGTAGTATACGTTGCTTAGAATGTTGAGTCAAAATGGACAAAGCCAGGAATATGTCCTCACTTTCTCCTTCTGCGCAGGTTATAAATCTTGCATGCATTCGCAATTCGTGCAAGATGGCAAATTGTCTGCAAATTTTCACATTCCCGGAGATTAAAGTAAAAAGTAAAAATAAAACGAAAAGTTCACGAGGCAGCGGAGCTGCTGATTCAGTGAGTTTCAGCCGAATCTGCCATGTAGCGGCAGAGAACGGCTGATATTGTGTATTGTGTTGTTTCAAACTCATACACTGCATGCTTGAAATTTAGTGCTTAGATACGAAAAATTTGATGGGAAAGTTCTTTAGCTAACTCCGCTACTTTGGTCCTGCAATAATCGTCAAGTGACTAAGTTCCTACTATCAAAATCCGATCGCCTGTAACTTCGTCTAATGAAACGTTTGGCCGATATGAAAAGTATAGCCAAATCAGCATTTCAAGGCGAAAGGCCACTTCGAATAAAATGCCCTCCCTGAGATAAATAGGCTGCTCCCGACTATCCCGGTAACTCTCCTTGTATTTAATGCGGTAACACTTACAAGGAAAGGAAAGTTCGTCGAAGTGGCCTTTTGGGATGAGATGTACACTGTTTTGTAGAGCTTTGAACGCTAATTCCAAATCTATCTTTGTTATCTGCTGACGGCTTCTTTGCGAGGAGTTATGAAGGTTTTCATGAGTAAAAATTCAAATGCAAAATTAGTATAAAATCAGTCGTAACTTTTACCTAACTTTTGAATGAGGCAGCAGCAAGTTGGTTTATTTGAATAAGAATATTTGCTGCAGCGAGTGACCCGGCTACCAGTTACATCCCAGAAAAAGTGTTACGGCTGACTTTATACTAATTCTGCATTTGAATTCTTGCTCACAAAAACTTCATAACTCCTCGCCCAGAAGCCTTCGGCAGATAACTAAGTTAGGTTTGAAATCAGCGTTCAAAGCTCTACAAGACAGTGTACATATCATCTTGAAAGGCTACTTTCAACCTTCCTTCAATTGTGAGTAGGAATGTTACTGAGCCGCTTCTTCTGGAGCAACTTTTCTTATGGAGCTTTGCGCAGCAGGAATCAAAAACAATGTAGCTCTAGTAGATGGCCTGCTATTGTCAATCTAGTAAAATTACAGTACCCTGAAACTTGTCGGTGAATTAATCAATAATTGTTCTCAAACGAGTTACTGCCCTTTTGCAGTTATGAGTACATTCTAATGTGTTTCTGCATTGCAACACTCAAAATGTAGCTTATTCATAAGAGATATATAATAAGATGTACAATAGGTGTCCTTGGTGCCCTTTATAAGGCTGAGATAATCACTATGACACACAAACCTGAGGACCTTTTGCTCTTTTTACCCAAAACGACGTCCAGCCTCACATTTGCCCACCTGGGGCCGGG